CAATAAATCGTACTTCTTAGCACTGGGGCACCACTTCGAGAGCAAAGCAACGACAACACATGGTATGTTTTAGCACTGGGGCACCACTTCGAGGCCAAAACAACGGCAACAAATCGTACTTTTGAGCACTACTTCTAGCATTGGGGCACCACTTCGAGACCAAGGCTACGGCAACAAATCGAGCATCGTAGAACTAGGGCGCCACTTCAAGACCAAAGCAACGGCAACACATCGTACATCATAGCATTGGGGCACCACTTCGAGACCCAAGCAGCATCAAAATATCGTGCATCTTAAAATTGGGGCACTACTTCGAGACCAAAGCAACGGCAACAAATCGACCATCTTGGCATTGAATCACCACATCAAGACCGCAGCAACAATTCGTACATCCTCGCAGTGGAGCACCAGTTTCGAGATCGAAACAATGGCAACACATCGTACTTCTTAGCATTGGGGGCACCGCTTCGATACCAAAGCAACGGCAACAAATCGCACATCTTAGCGCTGCGGCACTTGAAGACCAAAGCAACGGCAACAGTTCCTTTCATCGTAGTATTGGGGCACCACTTCGAGACCAAAGCAACGGCAACAAATCGCTCATCGTAGCAATGAGGCACCAATTCGAGACCGAAGCAACAACAAAAACTACACATTTTTGCATTAGGGCACCCCTTCGAGACCAAAGCAACTACAACAAATCGTGCTTATTAGCACCGGGGCACCACCTCGAGACCAAAGCAACGGCAACAAATCGCACATCTCAGCATTAGGACACCACAAAAAGGCGAGAAATCGCACATCTCAGCACCGGGGCAACACACCACTCCGAGACCAACGCAACGGCAACATCAAATAGTACATCTTGGCACTGGGGCACCACTTCGAGGCCAAAGCAACGACAACAAATCGTACTTCTTGACATTGGGGCACCACCTCAAGACCAAACCAACTGCAACAAATCACACATCCTGAAACAACGGCAACAAATCGTGCATCTTAGCACTAGGGGGCACCACTTCGAGACTAAAGCAACGGCAACAAGTCGTAAATCTCAGTACTGGGGAACGGCTTCAAGACCAAAGCAGCCGCAACAAGTCGTACATCCTGTGGACTACGCCGATGTCCTCAGCTTGAGAGGGGTGGGCACGCACGCATTGCTTCTTTAGTACGGGCACCAGACTCCTGCTCAATAGTGTTATGGACTTGTGGCCACTCCAGTATACCATGTCTGTGCGCCGCAGGCGCTCCGCAACGTGCAGCTAGTGAAGGATCTGGCACACGCGTGGAAAGCGTTCCACGCCTTTTGCAGCTTTCCGTGAAGTGGTGCCCCAGTGCTAAGATGTACGATTCGTTGCCGTTGCTTTGGTCTCGAGATGTTGCCCCAACGACAAGTCCTTAACTCACAGCTGAAATCTCAAAGCTTTCCGGACATCTCCAGAAACCGCAAAGTGCGCGCAGCGGCCCTTGTCCTGATAAAACCTCCATGACGGCTCCCGGCCCAGAAATTATGGGACAACAGTGTCGCAACTTGTTGCATGAATCGGGGGGAAGCTGTATGCCGGCGTCTTTGCGGATGTATTTGGTACGAGTTGGCAGGCTGAAGCCTGAAGCCAGCGTGGCAAACACGGAGTGACTTAATCAGGATGCAGCCCGACAACAACGCAGCTTTACAGCTGTGGAGTGCTTCGCATGCTAGCCCTACTGCCAGACGTGCCAGCAGGCTTCAAAGACCGCTGTCTGATTAACGAGATGGAATTGCTTTGCGCAAGCTTCTACAACGGACACGCGTGTTAGGACAGACTGCTCCAGAACATTGAATTCGGCCCCAGACTATTCGGTAGCAAGGAACTCTGGGATGTTTATCCGGCGCGGCAGAAAGAGTGGGCCATCTTTGCAAAGGGATCGTTGTCCCGTCGGCGGACGTCACTCGTCATCAATAAAGCATTCAGCCCTCGGCTTGTCAAAGGTCAGGTTGAGCTGCTGCCGAGTTGGCCAAGGCCGCAGGATTGTGCAGGAGGCCATGCACTGAAGCCGAAGACCACTGACCCAGGCGTGCCTGTGCCAAAGGCCAAGCCCCGAAACCAAAGCCTGTCCGTAGCTTCGGCAGGTGCTTTCATCCCAGCATCAGGAGCAGGTGTCGAAATTTCATTTGCCATCATCCAAGTTCACGAAGCCAACAAAGCTGCATTTTTGGGGGGCAGCACCATGCCTTCATCGAAAACCACTGACCCAGACGTGTCTGTTCCAAAGGCTCAGGAGAAGTCCCCGACGCGAGGGTGAGCTTGCCCACATCATCGGCCGAGAGGACTCCAGAGGACACTGTCAGGGATGAGGGTCCTTCACGCGGCTCAGGGTTTATGGTTTCACGTTAAGGGCGTAGGGTTTAGGAGTGAGGATTTAGGGTTTCGGGGGTAGCTTAGGGCTTGTGAGTTTAGGGCTTGGGGGTTTGGTGCACCAAGCATTCCTTAAGGGGGTGGTTGATGTTGTCGCGGGCATTTCAGAGGGCTGTAATTATGAGATGTTCATTGGCAGGGTCTGTAGAGTTTTACGAGTCTCCTGAAGAGTTTTGTAAGCTTGTTGTTATATTTTTTACTTTTGCTAGTCTTTCTACGATCGTAAGAGGGCTCGGGCTGCAGGGACATCGCGCGTTTACGGGGTTGTAGATATTATGAACCCGAAACCCCATTCCAGGTATTAAACTTTTGCGGCAATCTCATCGTGGAGCGGCGAGGAATACATCATAGGATCCTTAATTGAGGGTGGGGACCTGAGAGAGCACTAGAGTTGATGACATAAATCCTGCATTGCCCATGATCCTTCGATGTTTCACGTTGCATCCCCACCGTACTTGGCACAGAAACTTTATCGTTAAATATTACTCCTTATCGCTTTATGACGAATCTAATCAATAGGGCCTCCAGCTCATAAATCTTCACTCCGAGTTTTTTACTCAAACCCAATTTGCAAGCGCTTCGACCCAGCCTCTCGTGCGGGGGACCTGCCCCTGCCACATGCAGCTCTTTCAATGTCGGCTTTAGTGACCCAGTTCTCAGCGCTGTCGAAGTACGCCATTTGCTTCTTCTCATCCAAGTCGCGCCACCTGGGAAGTGACACCGTTGGGGGGAGGCGAGAACTGGCAAGGACACGCTATTGCGAACCCAGGGCGGGAGATATTCTCAGGCTGGATGGGTCAATTCAATTCCCGGGTTAAGGTCACGCATGGTATGGCTGCTATCCACGTTGGAGGTGGGCGCTTGAGATCTACAGAGCCAGACAAATCAAGCTCCACAATTCATTGGCCATGCTTGTTGCTCCCTTGGGCTCGGTTACTTCCACGATTGACGGCAAGCTTGCTGGGCTGGGATTTTCGGATCTGCGTCTGTGTAACGTCTTATCCTCCGACACATCCTCCCGAGCCTTGAGCCCTCGGCACCCCCTCAAGTGACTCAGAAAACGAAAGCGCAGAAAAAAATATAAAATATTTTCCGAAAAGATTGTCGGCCCAGGCACACCCAGGAAGGTGCCATGTTGCAGCCGAGCAGTCGTGGCGACCGCGGCCCCACCGGATTCCTGGGCCCGCGGCACCTCCCATCGTTGTTGCGGGGATAGAAGTGGATCTTGAGCAGGATTTTCACCAAAGTGAACTACTGTTTCTTGCAAACTCCCGCGTGGCACTGGCTCGTCATGGAGAGGAGGACTTGGAACAAACTGTTGCTGTAACTCTCAACCCTGCCTTTTCTTCCCACCGAACAGGAAATCCACCTGGGCCACCTTGGTCAGAAAGTCTGCAACGAAAAACGTGCAACATGAAAAAGGAGTTTTCTGGATAGGCGACCAGCAAGTCGGTCCTTTGCACAGCTAGGCTGCTAAGCCTTTCCGCTTGGAGGTGACCTCAAAAAATAACTTGAAAATACGAACCAGGCAACCAAGGAACATATTTCTTGCTCTTCACGCGCCCGTGCTGCGAACGGCTTGGGGCCGGTTCTGGCCTTGATGCCGCCACTGCAGAAGCCGCCCGCCGTGGAACCACAACGGCCTCTGGTTGAACAGTTACTTACCACTACGAGTGGGCAGAATTCGCGGAGTTTTCGCCAGCAGAAACGTCTGGAAAGATTCGCATACTACCACAACTAAATAATAAGCGAGCGGAGTGCGTCAGGACATGGAGTGAACCCTGAATAAGTGCGTGAGCGAGGGGGTGAGACGCTTTTGAGGTCCATAGGTATAGCTCAGCCCCTTAGCAGATCGTAGAAGCGTCTTAAGGCTTTGCTGCGCGGCCTTGCGGAGTGCCGGCTCCACGGAGTGCGCGTGGACTTGAACCGTATGCGCCTCTATACTCGCACACAAGACTCCACATAGATCCACACGCTGCTCCCAAAGCGAAGAACTTGTTTTGCACGACGCATCATGAAGAGCAAAACAGGTGACGGGTCCTAAGCTTGTCATGGTGCGACTGTTCACTCTAAGAATTGAAGCTCTGTTTGTGAGGCTGGCCTGGCTGGCCTCCTGCGTCGTACTCAAACGTGCTTCGCCGAGAAAGTGGCAGGCCTCTGAGCTCCAAGGGTATACGATTCGAACGATTCCCAGAGCCAAGACCGACGAGACTCAAGGGCCGAAGGGCAGAAGGACAAGAAGCAGGGACTCAATCTGTCAATCTTCCGGCCCTTCGAACCAAACACTAAGAATGATGCAGCATCAGATCAGAAAAAGAGAACTGGAAGACTCATTTCCGGAGAAAGGACAGAAAGTCATCTGCATTGCAGCGCAGACATTATATAGAGCCCCTTGACAATTCACTCGGCTGTGCCTCGACGTGGCTTAGCAGCCTGTGCAGCCCAGATTGTAGCGCTTCAGCAGAGGATTTGGTGTTGAATTCAAGGCAAGCGGGGCTAGCGGGGCAAAGCAATGCAAAGTGCACACAGATTCCAGATTTATGCAGCTGCACTGCTGGCATCCTCCATTTTTTTGCTGGCTTTGGTCTAATTGGTCTAACATCGTCACTCTTCCAGTGCACCAAATTCTACAGGCGGCCTTGGGAAGCAAGGTGGCGGTCCGTCCGGACCAATATGTCTGTTGAATTCGTCGTAGACATTAGATTTGTGAGCAGCCGCGCCGCACCCAGACTGGCGAGCACTCATGAAGCGCCACGCCGGTGAGTCCAGCCGGGCCGCACACTGGGGATAACTACTGTACAATGTGTCGCGTCGCTTCGCGATTGCTTTGCTTCTCTTCAGGTTTTCATATAAGTTGAGGCCCGAACTCCACACCACACGCTTTGCCTGGCAAAGCAAAGTCATCAGACACGATTTCGGGACTGGGTCGTCCGAGTTACTCATTAACCAAACCATTCAGGTCCCCATCCGACCCAGAAGAGGAGCTTCCACTACGAGAGGCGACGTTCTCAAAATAACCCTGAATAAAACCCCAGAATTTTCTCTCAGCAAAGTCTGAAATACCTACTGCGAAATTGCAAAGCTGCAGGCTCAGCTACTTACCGGACACGCTCTGAAAAAGGGCGCTACATGAGCTGCAGGGGTGCAAACCTCCGCGGTGCTTCCTTTGCCTAGAAAAGCGGTGGCACTGCAAATGGACATGACATCAAGCAAGTAAGCCTAATTAAGTTATTCTGGATTACTTTGGAGTTTCAGGCTGCAGCAGAAAGACGGCCCCAAATCATCGCTCCACTGGCTCTGTGATCTCTCGGTGCGCCTGCAGCTTGCGAATGTTGGCCTCGATCTTGAACTCGCGCTCACAGCGGTCAATCATGATCTCCAAGTGCAGCTTGTCCAGTTCGTCCATAACCTCGATAATGGTCTGATTCGACTCCTGCTGGCGACTGAAGCAGAAAGCGTCCTCAGCTACCTTTGCGAGCACCTCAACCTCTGCATCCTTGCCGACTGCGTCGGCGCAAAGGATGCCGCTGGAGATGGTGTCTAAGCCCACGGCAGCGATCATGTCGCCTGCCTGGGCCTCCTTTGTTTCCTCATGAGTTGTGGAGTGCCTCAGGGCTGGCAGCTAGGAACGGCAAATCGCATGCACATCGGCCGCCACATGACGCAAGAATTTCCTGCGACAGTCGGCCAAGCGGCATCAAAACCATTCGGCCCATGCGCTCATCTGACATACGCTCCTCTGGCTTGGTCCTGGGACAGCGAGCGTAAACAAGCTGCTGCACATGTCATACAATGTGGCTTCGCTGGAGATGCAGGAGCACTCGGGGTCCTTGGATTGAATATGGCGCCCTTACGGATGCACATCAGAGGCATCTCCAAGGATGCCTTACCAGATGCAAGGTAGGCCTCGAGAACTTCCTCGTCCTGCTCCATAGCCTTCTCGAGCAACTGAATGGAGAAGGGGTTCGCGTCAAGCTGTTCGACCATTATCGCGACAAATACATGCGCAACCTTGTACTTGTAACGAGCCTCGCGCCAGACGGTTTCCCTCTCAAGCTCAATCCCTGCAACATCAGCAACAGAAAGGGGGCTGTCCCAGCCCTCCACCAGCCATGTGAAGTCTTCGTGGCCGGGGGTATCGATGAAGCCGATGCAGCGGCCACGCCCAAATACGATGGGCATAGCGTTGCTATGAGCGGTGGCTAGACAACACAAAGGCCGCCATACATTTTGGGCCACAGCTTGCTGCAACAGTTGCGCTTGCAAGGGCGCCGGTCTGGACACACGAACGCAATAAGCTGCAATCTCGAAGGTAATGGCAGAAGATTCCACCGGGCGGAAGCCGCCCCGTTCGGTCTTGACGTCACTGATGTCCACGACCGGGGAGCCCGCGCGCCCACCGTTCAGAAACTCGCGCTCTGTGCCCTTGATCGCTGCAGGCACGTACTCCTTGGAAGCGATTGAGATCTCAAAGGCCTCCCCAGGGCTGGGCTCGAAGGACATGCGCAGCTTGACAGGTTGGCCGGCCTGCTTCTCGCGCGTGCACCAAAGCTCCAATAAGTTCGTGATCTCTCGGTGAGCCCGCAGCTTGCGAATGTTGGCCTCGATCTTGAACTCGCGCTCACGGCGGTCAATCAGGATCTCCAAGTGCAGCTTGTCCAGTTCGCCCACAACCTCGATAATGGTCTGATTCGACTCCTGCTGGCGACTGAAGCAGAAAGCGTCCTCAGCTACCTTTGCGAGCACCTCAACCTCTGCATCCCTGCCGACTGCGTCGGCGCAAAGGATGCCGCTGGAGATGGTGTCTAAGCCCACGGCAGCGATCATGTCGCCTGCCTGGGCCTCCTTTGTTTCCTCATGAGTTGTGGAGTGCCTCAGGGCTGGCAGCTAGGAACGGCAAATCGCATGCACATCGGCCGCCACATGACGCAAGATTATATAATGTAGCCTTGCCAGCCTCCCCTGTGAAAGCACAACAAAACGACTTGGAGCTTGGACTCGGGCTGATTCACGAGCACCCCCCTTTCAAGCTGCTCGCCTGCAGGCAGTTTTTGCGATCTGTGACGGTACCTGGATATGCATTGAGAATGGAATTGCGTTCTACATGGCGCCAAGTCTAAGCCGCGAACCCCACCCGACCGCGCAGGAAACAGGAGACTTGCTGCAGCGGACCACCATGTCAGGATGTTGGATTTGGAATGTCCGCCTGACGTAAGCAAAAGCAAAATTGAGGAATTAAGACACCTGGCGGAATGTGCCACACATGCTGAGATGCTGACTCTACGAACGTTGCACGCTTCGGCACAGCCCACAAGCTTTTCAACTGCAGACAGTCTCACGTTCAGTCATATGATGTCATGCTGAGCTTTGAGTGGGCCACTTGCACAATACAGCCTGTCGGCGCGAGCGCTTCCGCAACACCTCGTTTGCGACAGCAAATGACGCCACAAAAGAGGTGTTAATACAGGACGTAGGATGCTCAAAAACCGCAGCAGGACAAGGATCAACTAACGATAGTCTAGCTATACTCATATAGGTAGTCGCCTTCAAGCATACAAGCCAGCTACTTTGCCATCGTATGCCGTGCAAAACAACTCAGGCTCGTACTCGGCTCATTCCAGAGTGGACATAGCGCAGTGTTCGGCCAGCGATGTGGCGCGCAGGCCCAAGGCATCTCTCATGTGCGATGGAACACTTCCTCGTCTGTCTGCCTCGGCATGCTGCGGAGGTGATCTGCAGAATAAAGTGACAAGCTATGCTTCACAAGCTTGAGTGCAGACGCACGGACGAACACTTTTTGTCCACTCTTCCCTTCCGGATGGTGGCGAACTAGGTCGTCAGCTCGCTGCGACCTCGAACTGTAAAGTTCCGAAACGAAAAAGCTTCACAGGAGGCGCAACGAACTAGCCGGACTCTGTACTTCCGGGTGGGAGAGGTGGGAAAAGCAAAAACTCTACCGCTCGCACTTTCCTCGGGCCTTCGCACTGCGAGGGCTGCGAACGTTCAGCTCGGAAAGTTCTCGCTACGCTTGTCACTACGAACACACGTGTTCTGCACGACAAGCTATGCTTCACAAGCTTGAGTGCAGACGCACGGACGAACACTTTTTGTCCACTCTTCCCTTCCGGATGGTGGCGAACTAGGTCGTCAGCTCGCTGCGACCTCGAACTGTAAAGTTCCGAAACGAAAAAGCTTCACAGGAGGCGCAACGAACTAGCCACCCAAAGCGCACTGTGAAGCCACCCTTGTGCGCGTCAGCGAAGTTGTGTCGCCAAGACTTCGACCAACTGAGCGAACTCTTCGTAGTAGCTCCGGCAGTCGTCGCGAAAGTGTTCAAGCAGCGGCCAGACTTCCTTGAAGGAAACCTCGTGGAACTCCCCGTTAGCGGACTGTAGGTCACCGAGGTCTCCCCTCGAGATGCCGTCGGAGATGTTCTCTTCGCTCGAAACTCTGTGAAACGAAACTGACAACGACCTTGAAGCAGCCCAAACCCAAAAAGCTCCAATGACAGCCGAGAGTCTGAGGTCCTTGGAGTAGCCCTTATTGAGCGCGTGCTCCGCTGCAGTGTTGTCAATCCAACAACACACGTGGGTGTCGAAAAGATTGCAAACGACCGCCAGCGACATCAGCTGTGCTAATGCCTCTAACCAATATATATATATGCCCGGGAGGCGGCCAGATTGGCTAGAACTGACGAGGGTACCTCGCCTCTGAATCCCAAAGGACGGCGACCCGGCAAAAACACGATCGCACCAAAGCCGTTGGTGGCCGTGCGAAGCTCTTGAGCCGGCGGGAGCTCTGGCAGCCACTTGTTAGCAACACGGCGAACTCCGTGTACTGTCAGGAATGCATCAGCATACAAATGTGCGACCGGCCGACTGCGCTCGTCTGGGTTCACTGCGAACCGTCTGGGCTGCAACCTCGGTAAAAGGTCTCTCAGTTGGTGTAGTGCTTGCTGCAACCTGGGAGTCAGCGGACTCGAGCCAGGTGAACCATGATGCTGCCTCTGGTAAAGGGGTTGGAGCAGCATGCGACCCACATGGTTGAAGACCCATGTGCACGTGAAGCAAAGCTTGCCTGTCAGCTGTGAGCATTCGGATGCTGAGATGCGACCTCTTGAAAGAAACTCGTTGATAGTTTGCACCAGCTTCTCCACCCTGCGAGCTCCGGGGGAGGCGAGGATAGCCTCGGCGGTGAGCGTCCATTCGATGCCCAACAGTGTCTGGGCGAACCGAGGTTCCTTGGACTTCTCTTCCTTCATGCGGAAACCCAGGACTCTGTGGAACGCTTGAAAGACTGCGAACCCGGACAAGGCTGTCCTGGATCGCTCGAGAGAAAAGAAGTCATCGACGTAGTGGGCTGCGAACATCAGAAGCAGCGTGATGGTCAGGAACGAAACGACGTCAGCGACCCGAAGGTAAGCCCATACGGAGCCAACCGACCCGAAGGGAAGGGCGTTGTGGGCCCATAAGCTCGGAGACTCTCCTGGCATCACCAGTCCACACTCTGTGGGTTCGCGCACTGGTAACGACCTGTAGGCCCCTTCGTGGTCGATGGCGCCCAGGAGCACTGGCTCGTCGAAAGTCTCTGAACACTGTAGCGCCCCGCCCACAACTGTCGGGCCTCCGAGGTATGGCGGAGTGTCGGCTGCCGAAATGGTGCTATTATGGAGCGACCTCAGCCAGTCGTCTGCACGCCTAACTTTGTCGTTCTGCACAACGGCAAAACCTCGAGCGACCTGAATAGAAGATGGCTCCTGCTCCGTCCCAAGGAGGGATAAGGGGAGCGGGCCTTGCACGCGGCCTAGGTCACGTTCCTTCTCCAGCTCGGCGAGCATAGGATCGTTGTGTTCGGGCTGCCTGGAGGGCTGTCTCAAGGTAACTGCAAGCTTTCTGTTAGCGACCAGGAAGTCTTGTTTGGAAAGGGGGCGTGCGTACTTAGCGTCGTCCCTGTTAAGCCAGCCGGAACCCCGAACTACAGGGCCTAACAAGCGGAAACCCCAGAACAACTCGGTCAGTAGCTCGCTGCGACCTGGAAACTGGCACAGTTCGAGCAGCCACGCCAGAGGCAGGAGCTGGAACCGGAGTTGTGTCGAACCTTGTTTGTAGACTGAAGCTACGTGCGCAGGCAGGGTTTGGAGTGCTTCAGTCTGGTCGTCCTGCAACTCTGCGACCAGGTCTTGCAGGTCCCGAAGTACAGCTTCGCGAACTTGTACCACCTTGAGGCCTAACCTTGCTTGCACCTGGAAGGTCCACGCTAAGCAGGGGTTCAGGGGTGCTGGGAATATGTCTGCGAACGTCAACAGTTGCGCCCGCTGGGCGTGTGCTGTCGCGCCCAAACCTGGGGAACGGAGTTCGTCAGCCTGAGGCTCATTGGGGTCCCATCGCAATGAGGACCGTAGCCACCAGGAGGCGACTCGTTGCAGCGGGCGGCTCCCGTCGGGATGCCACCGGACCTGGAAGCAAGGGTCTGGCACATGGGGGTACCACTCCGTAGCGCGAACTGGGTGTGCATCCATCACTCCTGCCTGGCACAGGACCATGAGCACGAGAAGTCTGGCGACTCCTGCGTGCCACGCGTTGCCAAGTAGCCGCGCCCTGGCGTGTGGGGACACGGCCGCTGTGTACCCGCTGGGAAGGAGCTGCAGCCATTCCCGGGTAGCCGGGTCGGGTAAGTCCTTCTTGCCTGCGACCTTAACCAAGGCGTGTGTGCGAAACTGCCACGGGGGGTAGGAGCGGCTGGCTGCTCTCCAGCGCTCCATTGTGCCTGGACTTTCGGAGCGGCGCTTCTTACCTGGGGGCTCGCGGCCTTGTGTGTTCTCAGCCGGCGTGGTAAGGCAAGGGAACCTAATGCGACCCGAAACAACCTCCTCACTAAAAGTAGCAAACGGGCAGGACTGAGCGACCTGTCGGGGAAACAGAGTGCTATTCGGCAAAAGTTCCCAGTGTCTGTTAAGGCGTCGCCAACGTGCTTGGCCTCCTAGAGCGACCGGTGGTTCGCGTATATTCTCCAAGGGAGGACACACCGCGTTCGACCACCAGAGTCTCGGTCGTGACACGACTCCCCAGCTGGACGCGTCGCAAGCGAACGCACGGCAGTTAAGAGCCTTGTCGAGTTCTTGCTGCTGGGAAGCGGACATGTGCACGTTCTCTACTAGAAACAGAACCCGAAAACTAGAAGACTGAACGAACTCCAGCAACCAGGCGGCGAACTTAGTGAACTTGGAGCCTTCGTGACCTTGTGTGCCTGGCGGATCGCTGCGGATCCGGGAAAAATCGTGACACGGGGGAGCTGCAAAGAGTAGGACCACCGTATCCTTGGGAACTGAGGCTGAAAGAGCAGCGAGGACCTCGTGAGGTTTGCGACCAAAGACGTCGCCATGGTGAATCATCTCAGGATGCTGAGAAGACGCGACCTTGATGGCCTCCGGGTCAAGCTCCCAAGACCACGAGAGGACAGGACGTATCGCCCAGCTCTTGACGGCGTGCAGGGCCGTGGCTATGCCGTCGAAGAAACTAAGCACGGCGACCGGGAAGCGGGGTTGTTGTGTTGGAAGTGGTGCCGGACTGGCGGGTGGTTGGCTGTGGGTGTTAGGCGGAGCCACATGAGGCTGCAACGCTTGCTGAGCCGTATCAGGTTGCGGAGCCACACGAGGCTGCGACGCGTATTGTGGAACTTGCTTGGGCGGAGTCACATGAGACATCGACGCCTGTGTGGAAGAGTTGGGGGTCAGCACGACCGGTGTGCGTGACTGTGTAGAGGAGTCGCCTGCACCTGTACCTCTGCTGCGGCCTGGAGCAGGGGGAGGAGGTGGGAAGGGTGGCTTGGCTTGAGGCGAAGCTGCCGAGGGGTCGGATGTGGAAGCCTGGTGCTGTGTCCCCTCTCCGACTCGGCGGGGCGCGAACTGTGATCGCGCGGTCTGAACCTGGCTGCTGCAACGACTCGGCACCTGCGGACCTAACCTGTTACCAGGGATTACTGCGCCAAAGGCGGAGCACACGGGTTAGGGATTAGGGGCCTACTTACGGGCGGGGTAGGATTACCGTCTGTTCTTGTGGCGGGTGTCGCCCCCGACGGCTGAAGCGGTCCGAGCTGTCCCTAGTTGGACGGTGGGGGAGGGACACTCCCTTGGGGCGCAGACTGACCCCCGTGTGCGAACTTGCAGCTAGCACCGAACCTGCAGTAACCGGCAGCGAACAGGCGACACTGGGGTCGTGCTTGACTGGGTTGTTGCTGTCCCCATCCGCTGGATTGGGGGGGCTGCTGCTGCCAGTATGGGGAAGGGCGGCCTAACTTGCCTTTGCCAGAGCCCTTTCGCCCTTCTTGCCCTTCTCGCCTCCCTTCTCGTTGCCTTTGAAGGGGCGTTCCGCTGGAACCCAGCGACTCATAGCGTCTTGTTTGGCCTGCGGGGAGGTCACCTCGGCGGCAGCCTGCGCGAACGTCTTCCCGGAGCGCAGGGCCATGGCCATTTCCCAGGACGCCTTCTTCCAGTACAGGCGAATCTGGCCGAACTTTGACGGGTTGTCCCTCGTCAAATCTTCCCAGAAGGCGAAGTAGTCTGCAACTGCAACCTCCGGGTTCGGGCCCCAACGTGCGAACATGAAGGCGAACTTGCA